TAAACCTCTATTATTAATAAAAATTCCACAATCATAGCACAGCACAGAATACATAAGGAAAACAACTTACCAGATGCTGCTGAACAGAAAATAAAAAGCAAAAGGAGTCCACAAGTGAAGCAGTAGCTAACAGAGACACATCGATACCAATGGTGCAGACACCAGGGACCCACTGGATAAGGCCCTCGGTGGTCACAGTCACGAAGCCACATTTACAAACACAGAGGAAGTGAAACTAACCACCTTAGGCTGGTTACCTCAACTTCCTCCCTCAATATGGAGATACGCTGACTTCTATTTTCATTTAAACTTCAATTGCCTGTGAACTGGGGATCGTGCGCCCCTCCCTGCTGTCTTCCCACAGTCAGGCAGGACTTGACCACTTTTCCTTCCCAAACAGATTTCAGCATCCTGCCACCGCACACTTTGTCTGAGGGTAACTGACATCCAGATGGATCCAGGACAGGCGAAACAAAGGGCTGGCTCCCAGATCCCGAAATGTGCATGACTGAGGAAGGTGGAGTTCAGGACACGGCCACTAAAAACCAATTTTGACAGAAACTCAACGTTACCCCTAAATGCAATCAATAAGAAAAAAGTGGAAAGCCAGATTCAAATAATTCTTTTGAGAAATTAAGCTTTAGATCTTTTTTCATTATTAAAATTTTGTATTTTTTAAAAGGCAGTGTGTCTTACTATGTAGCCTAGATTGGTCTTAAATTTACAATATCCTTATGTTTAAAAACAAATATTTTTAGAGTAATGCCCAGTAGAGAAGGGAAGGAAATAAAAGCTGTCCCCTTGTGAAGGTTGGCTACCCTGTCATCAGACTGAGGACATGGGAAAGCACATTCGTTCAACCTCAAGCTGTGGGCTGTTGCTCCTGGATACTAGTTTGATCATTACCAGGACAATGCTCATGGACTCTAGGTGTGTTTTTAGTCCAAAATGGTCGTCAGAAAGTAACAAAGTCATAATGTGAGCAGTATTAAAGACAAATAATTAGAATATCTGAGAAACTGCTTTGAAGTTTTGACAGGATGGGTCCTCCCTACATGAACAAGATACTGAAATATCAATATAAATTTCAGAGACTTTTCCCCTTGTGTTTTTTGCATTTTCTTTTTATATTTTTGCCAATATAAATTCCAAACCAGAAAAATTCAACATGAGTATCACAGGATCACCGCTTACAATCACACAACATGAGCTTAGCTTGCCCCCTACTGGTGTTTTTCTTGTCTCAATAACAACTACATTGAGAAGTGCTATTAAATAATTTTTAAATGGGTTAGGCAGCTGTTAAAGATAGCTGGGTTTTTTATGGCAGTCCTTAGCACCTGACACTGGATACCTGGATGACAGGCCAGTTAGAAGTTTGGTCACTCTGCCAGGCTGAATTTCCATTGAACCCAATGAAAGCATCAAAGGCAATCAAAACATCATCACACCCTATCCCCATCACTGCTCTGTGCTCTTCTGCATCAGAACTCACACCTAAAGATTAAGTAGAACACTTCTGCCTCTTGATCCATCAAATCCCTCCCTCAACACAGGGTCTACATGCAAACCCACTGTCATTTTGCACCACCCCTTGGCCTCAGACTCCTTGCTAGCTACTACTCCATTTATCTGTCCTTGCTTTTGACCAATCTCAATTTTTTTTTAACTCCCCCACCCTCTCCCATGTATCTATTTTGAAGTGTCCTAGTTTGTATTCTGTTGTTGTGATAATACCCTAACCAAAGAACTTCAGGAGGAAAGGTTCATTTGGTTTACAAGTCTAGGTCACAGTTCGGCAACAAGGAAATTCAGAGCATGCGTTTGAGCAGGAAGTAAAGCAGAAGCAATTGAGGAATGCTGCTTACTGGCTTGCTCCCAGGCTCACATCCAGCTACCTATCTTATACAGGCCCGCCTGCTCTGGATGGTGCCATGCAAGTGTGTTGGGCCCTCTTCCATCAATTAGCCATCAAGAAAATACCCCACAGGCCAATCTGATAGAGACAATTCTTCAATGAAGTTCCCTCTTTCAATGGTGTCAAGTTGATAACAAAGTCTAGCAATCACATAAATCTACTCCAGTCAAGCTGGGATCCTTCCTTGTCCTCCCAAACTGATCTCATCATGGTCCCTCAATGATCCTGATCAACTCAGTCCTCATTTTCCTTGACTCCTCAGCAGTGTCTGACCCTGCTGATAATTCCCAGCTCCTTGACATTGTTTACTTGGCTCCTAGGTCTCTCACACCCTTCTGGTTTTCCTCCAGCCTTCTAGATGTACCAGGCCAGTCTCCATGTTAGTTATTAGTCTTGTCTCTGACCTGTTAATAATAGAACACACCAAGGCTTAGATTTCAGCGTCTTCTTTTACCCTGTTTCACAACTGTAAACACCTAAAACTCTTTAACGTGGATCTCAAGCTTTAGTCTCCTTCATGGTGTGCCACTCTCTAGGCATCTCAAATAGAATAGACCCAAAGCCAGCCCCTCTGAAACACCTCATATCAGATAATGACAACTACATCATTCCCTTTCTTGATTCAAAAGCTGTGGTCTCATGCATAATACTGATGCCCCCCCCATTATCCCACACTGAGTGGAGGCCCTATTGAAATCATCAAAAACGTTTTCAGAATCTGAACAAGTCTTACCACATCCATGGCTTCCTACCCTGATTTGGGGCACAATAATATTTTGCCTTATTCACTGGTTCCCAAACCTTGACGGCATTCAAGTCTGTCTTAGTTAGGGTTTCTATTGCTGAGATGAAACACCATGACCAAAAGCAAGTTGGGGAGGAAAGAGTTTATTTGACTTATATTTCCACATCATACATCATCACCAAAGGAAGAAAGAACAGGAACTCAAACAGGGCAGGAACCCGGAGGTAAGAGCAGATGCAGAAACCATGTTAGAGTGCTGCTTACTCACTTGCTTCCCATGGCTTGTTCAGTCTGCTTTCTTTTTCTTTTTTTTTTTTTTTTTTTTTTTTTGGTTTTTCGAGACAGGGTTTCTCTGTATTGTCTTGGAGGCTGTCCTGGAACTCCCTTGGTAGACCAGGCTGGCCTTGAACTCACAGAGATCCGCCTGCCTCTGCCTCCCAAGTGCTGGGATTAAAGGTGTGCGCCACCAACGCCCGGCCAGTCTGCTTTCTTATAGAATCCAAGACGACCAGCCTAGGGACGGCACCACCCAAATTGGACTGGGCCCTCCCCTTCAATCACTAATTATGAAAATACTTTACAGTTGGATCTTATGGAGGCATTTTTCTCAACTGATGTTCTCCCCTTTCAGACAACTCTAGTTTGTGTGTCAAATTGACATAGACTAGCCAGCACAGAGTCATAGTGGATTTCTTTTGGTACATGCTAACTGTGAGGTATGTATTGACATCAAAATCTCACAAGATGACAAATAGGGAAGAGGTTGGGGTTGGACTATAAATCTGATAGTAGAGAGGTGATATTTAAAATCATGGAACTCTGGGAGTCACTAGAAAGAGACAGGATCAAGTGACTCGTGAAGACCAGTCAGTATCCTGACATGAGACAGAGGCATCCACAAGAGTCTGGAAAAATAATAGAAAATTCTAGAGTGGGGACCCTAATCCTAAAATATTTTCAGGGTAGCTAATTTATTTTTTGTTAGCAGGAGGGTGCTATGAAGATAATTTGGTACGCTAAAAAGAATCTCAGTCTTGACCAGAACAGTTTCAGTGCAGTGGTGGCACCAAAAACAGAGCTACCTCAACTCTAGAGGGAAGTAAGGAATTAGAGACATCACACCTTTATTAATTCGAAGAATTCTTAATATCTGGCCTGTGGACAAAGGAGCTCTTGGAAGGATTTCAAGAAAAAGTTATTCCAAGTCCTATCTTCTGATGTTGCAAAATATTGTCCATGGTGTCTCACCCAGTGTTTTTGTGACGGTTATCAAGAGAGATGTATCATTCACTTGAGACTCCGGGAACCTACAGGCTGCAATGCCTGCCAGATCAAGCTAATACTTGTTTCTTGCCTGGTGTCTTTCGGGAAAATCAGACCTTAGCTTTCATCACAGTGATGGTTTAATTTTCATGGTGTATGGGATTTTATCTAGTCTCCCCCTTCGTGTGATGTACCTGGGCTCCTAAGCCCCCCACGCAAGGACCACTCATATCCACATTCTTGAAATAGGCCCTTTGATGCTTTGGGGGAAAAAAAGAAAAGAAAAAAGAAAAGCATTGAGTTCCCTTGAACCCACAAGTAACAACATGCAGGATAAAGGCCCATTATCTGCCTTCATTTTGTGTCTGTCTCCTTTACTTCGGCTGAATGTACAAAGATAAATCACTGTCCTAAACCTGCAGTTACCTTAGCTCCAGAGAAAGCAAAGCCTCAAAGGGTGACTCCTCACCACATAAGAACCATTAGCAGTGACGTCGGGGCTGCACCCGGGAGCATTAAGTGATCATCTTGTAGGAGCCAGATGGATCTCCTAGAGGGAGGTCAGCAATAAAGACGTTTGCCGCCTTGCAAACCAGAACGATCAACTGATGCTTAAATAACTGATTGCGTAAATAAATATACCTCTTGTCGCCTGCCCTCAATTCTTCCATAACCTTTAAAAATTAACGCTTATGTCAACATCCCAAAGACAGACTTGAGCGTGTGGGAAGGGGTGGGGGTGGGGGGAAATCATTGGTCTCCTCTATCTGTTCCTCTTCCCAACATGGTTGGCTCTACTAGTGACACGTGGTCCAGCCTTGCTTGTGGAAATGGTCAGAGCGCAGGCTTTTGCTTAAAGAACTCAGGTTACACTTCACTCTCGTCCCAGCTTCTCTGAGCAGCTTCTTTGAATAAACTGTCCGGTCGGTACTAGTCAGGTCCAGCTTGCTGGTCCCCAAGGATTCGCCACCCTCCCACAGAATCTGGATGCGCAGCCAGCCCCTCCCAGTCTGAGCCGGGAGCCGCCGCCTAGACTGGGCGGGGCGTCGCGCGTCGCCTTCTGGGAAGAGCTTTATGGTACGGCCGCCTTTCACGACAGTGCCGCCTTGCTTTACGGCTGCTAACTTTGTCTGCGGTCTGAGCTACAATAACGTGGAGGCATCCTCCTACTACGCGCAATTATGAGGCAGAAGAGGAAAGGTGCAAGGAGAAAACTGGGACGAGGCGGTAAGGGAGGCGGCGAATGTCCCGCGGCGGCCACCGGCTGGTCCCCACTTTTCCACGGGAATCTGCTTTGGGATCCGGACCCCCGCGGCCTGGGGTCGGCTTGGCCTCCCTTTATCTGCGTGCTGTGTAAAACAGCGTCTTCTCTCTTCCTCTTTGGAAGTGACTACTTGGTGTCTTTTGTGTAGATGGGTGAATGGTACCGTTATATTCATTCCAAGATAGGTCTCAGAGGCGTTAAGGTGGTGAGTAGACTTAACGCGATGCAGTTTAATTTGTGGAGACTTGTTGGGCGTTATGTGTTTGCGTAGTTTTGAATCCTAAAGTAGGAAAGGCGTTGGTACTTAAAGTAGGAATTATCCGTGCAATTTGTGCAACACCTTGACGTGAACATACTCCCATTTATTTTACCTCCCGAGTAACCTGGAGCGATTCTGTGCATGTTTTCAACAGAATGAAGTCATTTTCAAAAACGTTTATTTATTTATTTATTTAGGTTTTTTCGAGACAGGGTTTCTCTGTATTGTTTTGGAAGCTGTTCTGGCACTCGATCTGTAGACCAGGCTGGCTTCGAACTCGCAGAGATCTGCCTGCCTGGCTTCGAACTCACAGAGATCCGCCTGCCTCCGCCTCCCGAGTGCTGGGAGTAAAGGCGTGCGCTTTAGATTTGTAACAGCTTCCACTCTTATCTCCGTACTGCCCTTGAGCCATTGGTCTCATAATGCTTGTTGGTTGTCAGAATAATAGCCGTGTCTTGAGCCTTTACCAGCCATTTTGGAGTTGTGTCACCTAAATTTATACTTAGTCTGTGGAGCTGACTGTCCATGGTGTGCCTGTGACCCCCGAAGCATCAAATGAAAACTAAATGTGTTGTTGGTCACTGCTTCTTGGCATTAACTGGAATTTCCCTTACAAGCAACAAGTCGCACATCCTTGTCACATCAAACACAACATGCACTAGATTCATTTGTTCTTACCCTGCTGTGACTTGTCCCTTCTTGGTTGTTTGGGCCACACAGCTTTACTGGTTTGGGGGCTTTAACTGTCACCCACACCTTAGTTCTTACCTTGAAATCTTAAATTCACTTACGCTCATTCCCTGTACCGTGTTTTGCTTTCGTGTACATTTATTTTTGTTGACTCATAGCATCTGTCTTCTGAGATTTGTCTGTAAGGGCTGGTGTCTGTCTTGTAGATTTTTTTTCCTTGTATGTGCACAGGTGTGCGGTATTGGCATATGTGTGGATGGGTGCACAGGCCTGAGGAGGAGGAGTTCTCATATCCTAGTCTGTCACATGCCACTTTAGGCCCTTGAGACAAGAACTTGTAGTTAGGCTGGCAGCCGGCAAGCCCAACAGTCCTCCTGCTGTAGTCCGGTGTTATGTCCTCCATGGCCCCCGCTTTCGCACATTCTAGGTCTACAGGCAGTAATTTGGCCATGGCTAGCTTTTTTTTTTTTTAAAGATTTATTTATTTATTATGAATACAACATCTTGCCTCCATGTATATCTGCTCGCCAGAAGAGGGCACCAGATCTCATTACGGATGGTTGTGAGCCACCATGTGGTTGCTGGGAATTGAACTCAAAACCTCTGGAAGAGCTGCCAGTGCTCTTAACCTCTGAGCCATCTCTCCAGCCCCATGCCTAGCTTTTAACATGGGTGCTGGGATTCAAACTTGGGGCCTCATATACGTGGGTTTTTAGTGTACTGTTCAAAAGCCTCTTGTTTAGCATCCAAATTGATTGTATCTTCTTTCCCTTTTTGACTTACTGTTTATGTTGGTAACCTCACTTTCTTTAAAAACTACTTTCATTTCTTAAGTTACAGAGCTGAGAATGTATAATTCTCTACTGATGTCTTTAATGCCTTTGTCTAGTGGCCAGTGTTCTATCTGCTTATTGAGTTCTGTTCAGGCAGCCTGAGTTCAAGTTAGACAGATCTCCTTTCACAAAAATAGGTCATTCTTATGCCTGGCACTGTTCCATCCTGCTTATTCCCAGATAGTTTCTCACATCTTTGTTTTTACCAGCCCTGCATTATTCTGCCCTCTCATCGAAGTGTTATGCAGAAGTAAGTAAGTTTCAAATGGGACTAAATGAAAGGTCTCAGTAGCTTCCATGGCTGCCTTTTTTAGCCACACTTCTATGATGTGATGAGTCCTTTATTTTTTTTTTCACACCAGCAGGCAGAAGGTGCCATTGCCCAAGCTAAGACACCACACCACTGTTGTCAGCAAGTAAAAAAAAGATGGGCTCCCTTGAGTCTTAAAAAAAGAGCTGAGATTGTCCTAGCTTGGATTGGTGCCCATGCTTGAATGAGCCGTTTGTGATTAACAATAAGATGATATGACAAATATGTCAGCATCTCCTGTTTCTGGGGATGAAAGACAGGGTTATGCAGGTCTACAGATGGTATCTTAGACATGTGGCTCTTAGATAGGCCAGGCAAGGTAGTACATGCTATATAAGCTCAGCACTGAAGCGGCTAAGGCTGAGGTTCAAGGCCCACCTGGACTAATAGCAAATTCAAGTCTGTCTGAGCTGTAATGAGAAGAAAGCCAAAGGCCCATGGGTGCATCTTTATGGAATGGGCAGGTGGTCCTGTCCCGTCTGTTCAGTCTGTTCTGAGGTTAAGTTAGTGCATTATGGGACAGGCAAGTTCCTGCTCCATCTCCCTCACCATTCTGAGATTGAATTAATGCATCTTAATGATCTCTGTGCACTTACTGGTGAACATCATTGCTACTCTGCAGCCAAGGGCCGGGCATTTAGTTACTTTGTCCTGACCTGGGCTAATAGGTTCTTTTTGTTCATGATTGTTTCTACAGTGGTCTTTCCTCTTTTTTTTCCTCTATCTGTCTGCAATATTCTTTCAGTCCTGTGCTTCTATAGGGAGCTTTCCCCACATGGGTTTGTTGTTGGGGGGAGGCATTAATTGAAAATACGAAAGATGTGTTTGGATTGTGAACAATCAAATTTAGTGTCTCCTGTTCTTGAGCTATGTGTTTGGCATGTTTGAAATTGTTTTAGAAGCCAGATGCTCCTGCCCCGAGCGTCTAGCTTGAGATGATTTGGGAAGCAAGATTGTTACATCTTTCCTGAGGGCTGGCACAATGGCTCCGTGGTAAGGGTGCTTTCCACCAGACCTGAAAAGCCAAGAACCCATGTAGTGGAAGGAAAGAACCAACTCCTGACCTCCACACTTAAAGTGTGTGTGTGTGTGTGTGTGTGTGTGTGTGTGTGTGTGTGTGTGTGTGTGTGTGTGCGCGCACGCGCCCATGTGTTACATAAACACACACATACAAATAAATAAATAAATGTAGAAAAGTCCAGATGAGATTTTTGCTGTTGTTGAAAATCTTTGCAGGAGATTTCAGCACTGCTGAGCTGATGATGCTGACGATAGGAGAGGTTATCAAGCAGCTGATTGAGGCCCATGAACAGGGGAAAGACGTCGATCTAAATAAGTAAGTGCATCTTTAAGAGGGAACTCTTGCAGTCTTGGTCTCAAGTAACAGGCTGTCTGTCTTGTCTGTCTGTCTGCCACACAGTGTCACTTTGTCGTCCAAGCTGTCCTCACATTGAAGCCATTCCTCTTGCCTAAGCCTTCCAAGTACTGGAATTCCTGGCATGCCTCACCACGCCTGGGGAGTTATTTTGTGAACCGATCTAACACTACCTGTTTTCTGTGTGTAGTGGTTAAGAATCACAGCTTTTGGGAGGTGGTGGCACATTCCTTTAATTTCAGCACTCGGGAGGCAGAGGCAGATGGATCTCTATGAGTTTGAGGCCAGCATAGTCTACAAAGTGAGTTCCAGGACAGCCTCCAAAGCTACACAGAGAAACCCTGTCTCAAAAAAAAAAAAAAAAAAAAAAAAATTGCAGCTTTCTGCCTCATCCTGTCACTTACTTCATTTCATGTTGATAAAATGAGTCTCTGATCTAATTGCCTCCAGCCTTTATTGGGCACTCCCAGTCTTCCAGGCATTGTTATGAGGGCACTACAGGTGATAGCTGAGTTAACCCTCGCAGAAACTGGTTGAGGGGTGTCTTAGTTTGGGTTGCTGTGATGAAACACTGAGACCAAAGAAACTTGAGGAGGTAAGAGTTTATTTAGCTTACACTTCCAGGTAACTGTCTATCACTGAGGGAAGCCAGGGCAGGAACTCAAACAAAGCAGGAACCTGGAGGCAGGAGCTGATGCAGAGGCCATGGAGGGGTGCTGCTTACTGGCTTGCTCCCATGGTTTGCTAAGCCTGCTTTCTTTTCTTTTCTTTTCTTTTTTTTTTTTTTTATTTTTCAGAGACAGGGTTTCTCTGTATTGCTTTGGAGGTTGTCCTAGAACTCACTCTGTAGACCAGGCTAGCCTCAAACTCACAGAGATCTATCTGCCTCTGCCTTCTGAGTACTGGGATTATAGGTGTGCGTCGCCAATGCCCAGCTCAACCTGCTTTCTTACTGAACCCAGGTTCATCAGCCCAGGGGTGGTACTACCCATAATGAGCTGTAGGAAAAGCTATAGAACAGAATACTTTCGTAGACAAAAGAGGACAATTACTGGCTCACTTCTCCTTTAGTAAATGCTGTCTAAGCATGGTGTTCAAGGAAGGGGTGGGTACAGCCATCTTAAGAATTACTAATTAAGAAAATACCCTACAGGATTGCCTACAGCCCAATCTTAGGGAGGCATTTTCTGAACTAGAGTTTTTTCCTCTCTGATGACTCTAGCCTGTGTCAAATTTAAATAAAGTTAGCCTGAACAAGGGGTCAGCAAGATGTTCTAGTAAGTAAAAGTATAGTGGGTGAAGGAAACCAACTCCCAAAAGCTGTCCTCTTACTCTATACTGCCCAGTGACACGTGGACACAGGCACGTGCACACATATTTAAAAAACAGAATTAAACTTAAACAAAACAGTGTGGGGTAGGTGCTGGTGTCACCCTCACCCAACAGACAGGTGACATGAGAAGTAGAGAGGTTAAGGAAGTCCCCCTGGGTGAGGAGGCATTGGCAGAGTGACAGTTAGAGCCTCCAAAGCCCGGTTCTTTCTTTGAGCCATCATTTCACACCCTACTCTCCTCCTGTCTCTGTGGAAGCACTCTCTCTGGTGCCCTGAATCTACTCCCAGCCATCCCTGCCGTAGAACCTCTTCCACACGTTCATGTTCAGCTTGGTCTTTGTTACACCCCCGAATGAGTGGCCCTTCATTCTGCTTCTCATCTTCTTGACTGCATTTGCTCTTTATATATGCTCACAGAGAAAGGGTTCTCCCCGCCATGACGTGTAATCACCACATCCGTGACGTCTTGTAGACCCAGCTCTCTGTTTCTTAAGATGCCTGTACCCAGCCTTTTTCTTTGAACACTTTTAGAAAGCATATATATGCTAGAGGATAAGTGAGTCAGTAATTGTCCTCTTTTGACTATAAAAGTATCCTATAGCTTTTTCTACAGTATCTTACAGTGACATCCCTGTGTCTACTGCCTGAGACCCGAGCGCTCTTCTGGGTCTGCCTTCCCTAACTTTCCCAGCACATGTTAAAGTTCTTCCTGCATTCTGGAAGCAACCCTTGCATGTGGAGGGTATGTATGTGACCTTAGCCACAACAAACACATCACATGAAAGGGCTGTGCCTCACATCTGACATACCACATATGTGGGCAGTCGCCTGTGCACGCTAGCTGTTCAGTTAGCATTTATTGAAAACAATGTGAGCAACCCACAGATATTTCTAGGTGGGTCAATTAGAAGACTGTGTGACTGATAGGATTTGGCTAGTGGGCACAAAGAAGGGGACAGCTAGCCAGATTGTAGAGAAAATTAAGGAATAAGCTGGACATGGTGGCACACACCTGTATCTCAGCATTCGGGGTAGAGGGAGAGTTCAAAGCAACCTGGGTATAGCAAGACAAAAGGGAGAGGGGTTTAAGAATTAGTAATTATTTGAGCAAAGGATGCCTTTGTGGTTACAGATAAGGTCATACGCAAGAGAGGATAGCGTTTGCTTTGTTTAATAGTTAAGGCAGGTTCTAGAATTTTTATTCTGGTTTTGATTTGTTGTTGCTTTTGTATATTTTATTCAAGAAAGTAGTCCTTGATCAGGGTGAATTCTTCCCAGGGGACACGTGGCAATGTCTAGACAGCCTTCCACACACAGTCCCAAATGCCGGCAGTGAGGCTGAGAGGGTCAGGGCAGTTCTTTAGGGTGGAGGCTGGAGTGCAGTTTGGAAGGAGACCTTCACTGTGCCGTCATCCTGGGGTCCCCGGTCCTGGTTTACTTCCCGGTGTTTAGGGTTAAGTAAAGCAAGTTGGTTACTAACAGATTTTGTCCTTTATTTCCTTGATGTTCACAGATTGATTGCTAAGCCACTCTTGTCGCTTGGTGAAGGGTAGAGGAGTGGCAGATGTTAATGATTTGTGCACACATCATCCTTTTAACCGAAATGCTGTGATCCTTATAACACTAAATGCTTTGCTTCCAGGCTGAAAACCAAGATAGCTTCCAAGTATGGCCTTTCGTCCCAGCCCCGCCTGGTGGATATCATCGCTGCAGTCCCTCCCTTCTATCGAAAGGCCTTGATTCCCAAGCTAAAGGCAAAACCCGTCAGGACTGCCAGTGGGGTGAGTGACTGAACTGGTGACAGAGATAGCGAGGCAGAGGTGGGGAGTTCAGACCCCTGAGTCTGTCGTGCTGTGTGCTCGAATAAAGGAGGTGTGGCCACGATGCTGAAAGGGCACAGGAGGAGCCAGCTAGTTAGTGTACTTAAAGGAATACATGTAGTGTCTTTAAAGATTGAGACTTGGTCACTTAACAGTATGACAGATGTTGACCCTCTTATGCTGATAGCTTCCAGTCGGTGCTTCTAAAAGGCATATTATGGTGCAGGATAGGGTAGATAGGGTATTTTTTGTGTTTTTTTTTTCTTTTTTTGGGGGGGGGGTTTGTTTTTGTATACATTGGTGTTTTACCTGTATGTATGTGTGAGTGTGTCATATTCCTTGGAGCTGGGGTTACAGACAGTCATGAACCGTCATGTGGGTTCTGGGAATTGAACCCAGGTCCCCTGAAAGGGCAGCCAGTGCTCTGAACCACTGAGCCATCTCTCCAGCCCAGCAGAGTAGTTTTATATGTAATGATTGTAGAGTAAATCTCCTAATAGGATGCACTGTGGGTGTCCAGAGACAGCCACTCCTCACCCCCCAGAAAAAGGCAGAAGGCATAGCATTTTCCTGACCTGTGAGTATGCTTGTATGGTGTGGGGATCAGGCTTAGGGTGCTGGGGGCAGGAAAGGAACACAGAGGTAGGAGGGGCTTGGAGAGCCTGGCAGGCACTGACAGGGAGTGCAGCAGACTGGGGGAACTCAAGAGTTCATTTGACAGTCTCATTGTATAGGCCACAATGGCCTTGAACCCACACCGAGTTCATTTGAGAAAACCGGGGGCACAAGCACTAGAAATATCATATCCTAATCCAGACAGCAGACCCCTCATGCGGATTCACATGAGGAACATGGACTTCAACACTGGAACCCCTTTCCAGTGGATCCTGCCCCTGCCCATTCCTTAACACTCAGCCTTTGGGTCCTAGAGCCTCGGTCTCAATTCAGCCCCTTAATTAATGCTTCGCAGAGGTTAGAACAAGAGTATCCACCATGGCCTTATGCTTTTGAACTACTGTGCATGCCGTATCTAGACTAACCTTCTGAAAACTTGTCCTGCTCACATCACCACCCTGCAGACACCTGGAGTTCTTTCTTGTTATTTGGTTTCTTTGCCAGTTGTACATGACTGTTTACAAGCTTCCTCTCTGTCCATGAGAAATCCAGCTCATGTTAGCCTTAGTGTGGCTCTGTCTGGTCACCTACCTCCTGTGTTAATACCTTAAGAGCATTACTATGTCTGCTGCCAGACTTCTCTCAAGCAGGTACTTTCCCCACCCAGCCTGGATTCTGTCGGGGCTCTGAGATACTGCACACAGACTCTGGATCAGGGTGTTCCCTAACTTCCTGCTTCCTGCTATAGATTGAAATCTAGAGTGTTCTTGGAATTCGAATAATAATGATTAGGTTTATTTACAATATTATATAAAGTGACCATTGTCAGGTGTAAGAATCACCATGACCTTAAAATCAATTCCCAGGTCTGGCCTTATAGCTCAGTGGTAGAGTGCCAAAGAAGTATCACAAATCAATAATAGTTCCTTATTCTGTACTTACCGTAAAACTAAGTACAAAGCTCATATATGCAATTTATATAAACATTCTAAATATTATCAGCGTAAAAGAGCGTGGCTTTAGGGTGTAGCAGCATCCATGTCTCAAGGGAGATGCCCAGGTTTCTTTTCCGATCTAATCAGTCTCTCCCTTTTCATGCTGAAGACCACTGTGTGGTGTTGTGTTCCCTTCTCTGCTCTGCTCCTCATTAAGATAACCACTGTAGAGTTTGGTTAGTTTTCCAATGATAGCTTCTTGATTATCTTTCTTTTATAGATTGCTGTTGTGGCTGTGATGTGCAAACCCCACAGATGTCCACACATCAGTTTTACAGGGAATATATGTGTGTAAGTATGATTTTGATAAGTTGATGTGTGTGTGTTCAGTTAAACTAGTAAGTAAATTCCCTAGTGCCCTGGCCAGTACAGGCTGATGATACTAAAATGTTGACTGAATTGTAGCTTTGGTAAGGTATTTCAGCACTTTGAAAGGGAACAGGCAGTGCTGCAGTGCTGACATACTCATAGGTTATGAACTTGAAATGATGGACACCTGTTACCTAGGAAAATTAAACATGGAAATGCAGGTTCCCTGGATTCCAGCATCAAATTTAAAATGGATTTGGACCAGAAAAGTATCAAAACCGTTTTAAATTATTCTTATAAATAGCAGTTAGATTTCTCTAATTGAGGTATTGGGAAGAATTCATGGATGCAAATGCATTACTGAGGTAGGAAGATTAAATGGGAGGGTCCCAGGAAAGCCTAGAATCATCCAAACTGGACAGCGGGGCTCCCACATTAAGCCTGTAAAGATCTGTGCCTGCAGTGTCCTGGGCCTGCGTGTTGTCGAGTTCCTTCACTTACTGTCCTGTCTGTTGCTGGTAAACAATGCTGCGAGGGAGGACTGCTGTTTGGTTGATGGCGAAACTGCTTTGGTAGCAGGATTTTCTGAACTGAGTTTTTTATCTGCCCTCCCTGTTCTGTCGTTGTGTCCAGATACTGCCCTGGAGGACCTGACTCAGATTTTGAGTACTCAACCCAGTCTTACACAGGCTATGAGGTAAAGCCTTTGACTTGGTCCTAACAAAGTGCTACCATCCAGAGTGTGGCGTGACAAGTGCCAACATTATTATAAGCTTGGGCTTTTTTCCTGACTAGAAAGCTATTTGCCAAATACTTGGGCTGTGTGTCCTCAAGTGCCTTCTATGTGCCAAGCCACCAGAGAAATGTCAACATGAATGTTTCTTACCATTATTTTCAACCACTGTCCCAAGGTCTCTGGCACTCTAAGCCTTGCAGCAGTGTTTGGGAGGGGGTACTATGATTGTCTCAGTTTTACCGTGAGGAATTTGAGGCATTAGAGGCTTAAGAACTGGCAGGGAGACACTTGGTGAGCAGCCACTCTGACCCATGTTTTCCATGGCCCCAATTTATTATTATTATTTTTTCTTTTGTATCTTGGCCCACATTAATTTTTATATACATATTATATGTTTGTTTTTTTAGACATGTCTCATTGTAACTCAGATTGGCTTCAACCTTTTAATAGTATTCCTGTCTCAGCCTCCTACCCACAAGGGCTTACATGTTTAGGGTTGACCAATTGAGAATTGGATAGTCTGTCAGAGAGCTCGTCCCTGGAGAAAACTGATTCTCCTTTTCTTAGTACCATTGATTTCCTGTAGCTCATTACCTAATGGTAGGGCCTTAGGAAATCCACCCATCCACGTTGACATGTCAGCTAGTGATGTCATTGTGCAGGTCTTGTTTAGACAGTCATTTGTCGTGATCTCGTGAGTGTTTTATTCCTGTCATGTCTAGAAGACACGGCCTGGTCTTCTGCCCACCTCTCCCTGAGCCTTAGGTGTAGAGGTTGTGCTGTGGATGTATCAGCTGTCACTTACTTTCTGTGTTCTGACCAGTTGTGGGTCTCTGTAACAGCTTCTACCTACTGCAGAAAAGACGCTCATCAGAGAACCTTTTCTGCTAGGAAGCCACTTCAACATGGAAGGGGATTCCAATGTGATAGTGCCATCAAGACCATTTGCTGAGCTGTGTAATTATTAGGACCTTATACAAAGATCATTCTGCTACATGACTTTCTTGAGTATGTGTGCCCATTTGTGTGAGAGCACCTACACTTTGGATGCCATTAGATTTCCACAGAAGGTGAATGTGACCCAGTAAGTTGCCCTGCTGTTGAGGTACCCTTGACAGTGTGGGAGAGGATAGTGATGGTCTGAACCTTGCTAAAACTGAGAAAGGAAGGTGGCATATGGGGCATGGTTTTAGTGTTCAAAACCCTGGAGTAATTTAATACAACCCTTCACTCCTTTGGTATTTTTTTTATTTGATATGGCTTATAACACAATTTTTTCCCTTATTTATGTAGCCAACTTCCATGCGAGCTATCCGTGCTAGATATGATCCTTTTCTGCAAACAAGACACCGGATAGAGCAGGTAAAGAGGCTTTTTAAATTGTTTTTTTTTGCTTCAAAGATTGCCATGCCATTGCTTGATTTGGAGTCATTGTGAAGACAAGAAGAGCATGGTTTTATGCTCATCTGAAGGAGAGACTTAAGCTGTGAGTGGTCAGACTTACACTCCTTAGAGACTGTTGTCTCCTTTGAGGGTTTTAGATTCTATGTACTCCTTTCAGTTTGAAGGAAGTCACTTATGAAAGTGCATAAAAGTTCTTTAACAGTCAACAAACAAGGGATTGAACTTCAGCTTCCAGAGCCAGGTAAAGAAGTGTTGAGGTAGGCTTGCTCAATGAAAACAGGCAATTTACAGCAAAGTGTTTGCGTGGCTGTTTGGGTTTTGAGGGCTTGTTCCATGTCATGACTGTGGTGGTGCACAACTCTCTAACTGAGTTCAAAGAGAGTGGATTTTATTGCATATAAATTATACATTAACATAACTGGTTAAAAATTAGTATTCTGTAGGTGATCTTGAACTAGTTTCTCAAGGAGTCTAAGCATACTTTGCAAGTGTTAGAGTGTGAGCACCATCTGTAGTTGTTACGGTAGTTAATATGGCAAGATAAATAGAAGATCTAAAATAGAAGGGGCTGTGTAGTATATAACTTGCTTCTGGGTTTGTGTGTCTGTTCATTATTGAACCCCACCCAGTTCTAGTGTTCACTTTGTTGTCACTCAAGCATATGATGTATAGGGCAGGAGTGTTGGCAGTAGGAGAGGACCCCACATAGCTTGGGAAAACTGACTTTGACCTCATTTTTGTTTTTAGGTATGGTCTGTAACTCATTTAAGATGAGTATTACTTAGGGTTCTCTAGAAGAACAGAACTTATAGAATGAATCCCCCTGTACAAAGAAAGGGGGTGTGTTAGAATGACTTACAGTCTGGCCCAGCTAATCCAACAATAGCTGCCTATGACTGGAAGACCCAAGAGTCCAGTAGTTCAGTCCACAAAGCTGGTGTCTCGGCTGGCCATTAGTATATGGTGGAACCCCAAAGAAATGGGCCCTGAAGCTAATGAAGGGATGGACTTGCCAGCGAGAGCAAGTGCAAGCAGGCGAGAGAGAGAGAGAGAGAGAGAGAGAGAGAGAGAGAGAGAGAGAGAGAGAGCTCCTTTCTCCATGTCCTTTATATAGGCACAGAAGGTGTGGCACAGATCTTCCCACCTCAAAGGTCTGAGTTAAATAAATTATCTACTTCAGATGATTTAATTAAGAAAAAAAATCCCTCACAGGTGTGCCTAGTCTTTCTGGTTTTGGTTAATTCCAGATGTAATCAAGTTGACAACCAAGAATAACCATCACAAGATGGGAAACTATTTAATAGAGTATGAAATGTTTATATTTACTAAAAATGTTTGAAGATCTTAGGTTTAGAGATTAGGTTTGTCACATAGAATAACAATTCTTTTCTTTGTTACCTAGAATAACAATTCTTTTCTACCTAAGTGCAGTAGAGTCATCTGTGAAACTTAGTGGCATAGTGACAAAGGGGTGGGTCTCCACCTCTGAAGATAGAGGTGGAGTTTGGCTGGGAGTCCTAGCAGGAGGTTTTGTAGGTGATGCTACCCCTTATGCAGCCATGGACAGAAGAGTCATGTAGTGTTAATGGGAAGGCATACCCATGCTCACTCAGATACATAGACACAATAACAGTAGTTGCTGTTTGCTATTTGCAGAAATAACCAGTTTTAAAATGTTCCATGAGATATTCATTACATGGTATATTATAGTTCGTAATTTGGTATTTGACCCTGGCTTTCATATACCTAATATATAGCAAGAAATTTAAAAACTTGTTTTTAAAACTTCGAAGCATGGCTTGTTGTAGTTGGCGTGGTGGATGATTGTGCCATTCCGCCCTGACGTAGAGGAGATGGGATATTTTCATTTTGAGGCAATCATTTATGTACTTTGGTTTTCCAAGAGCAGCTTGAGGGCCTGTGCCCACAATCAGCTTTAAATTGCATCTTAAAGTCTTGCTCTAATCTAGTATTCATCTTTTTCCCTGTGCATTAAGTTCAGGTTATAGTTCACTCACAACTGTGCTTTTACCATGAAATTAAACATAAAACATATGATTGGTAAATTTTTGCAATATCTGATACTACGTTATGTTGGTTTTTATCTATTATATTCTGTGTACCTGTTTTATATGTCTTAAACTCTTCCTGTTAAGTTTCTACTTAACTGTCAGCATTGAAGTCTGGCTTCTGTTTTAGTTTTAATTTTTACTCTCCCATCTTTTTGGAGCAGAAATTATTTTTCTTTTAGACATTTCTTTTTTTAAATGCACAGAATTAGCAAAATGTGTTTTATTGTAAACTGTGCTAATGCGACTACAAAATGAACTTGGAAATTGTGCAGCATCTCTAGCGAATGCTCTGATGGATGCGTGTTTCTTCCAGCTGAAGCAGCTTGGTCACAGTGTGGATAAGGTGGAGTTCATCGTGATGGGGGGAACATTCATGGCCCTTCCAGAAGAATACAGAGATTATTTTATCCGAAGTTTGCATGATGCTTTATCCGGCCACACTTCAAACAATATTTATGAGGCAATCAAGTAAGAAGCCCTAGTTTTCACTCTCTGAATGGTTGTCTGTTCATCCTCCTAGTAGCTGTCTGTGGGGATTTGATCTGTTCTGTGTATATATTCTGAATTTCTTGTACTTTTCTTTGTGTGTATATGTGGAAAGCAGTTGTTTTCATGGAGCCATACCTCCTAATTATTCTAATCCTTTCAAAGAGTTCCACTTTCCTGGTGACCAAACATTCGAATACATGAGCCCTTGGGGGCCATTCTTATTCAGACCAGCACACCGCCCATGCGGTTACAGGCACCGGGCATAACATGGTGAGCAAGACCAAGATAGAGCTGTGTGTCCTTGTGGCACTATCCTTTGATAGCAGTGTCTTACAGAGGAACGGCTGTGGTGGGAAGGGACTGCTGGGACAGAGACCTACTGTAGGAAGAGGAGCCTGAGGCCTTCCTTAGGAAGGGCAGAATGAGAACACTGAGAAGGAAAACAGCCGTGGCTTCCACAGGCCACTGGGTTATACTCCAGTGAGCAAGAGAATGTCCTCAGGTAACATTGAAAGTCTGAACATAGGCCAGATCATGTACTCTTTCACGGAGCTGGAGTTCGTATGAAACACAAAAGTAGTTTGTTTCAAGCCATAGGGGTAGTGACTCATCTTTGTTAGCAAGCAAGGTCATCGGCCTGTCTTCTGACTGACAGCTTAGAGGATTAACATGACGATGGGAGAAGCCTTGATCACCATGGTTCATCAAGGTGATGGCAGTGGTAATGGAGAAGAGGATAATTAGGGACAATGAAGGCCAAGCCTTTGTTGGATGAGAATGCCATATGCTAAGATGGAAAAGCCATAGGGAAGGAAGTTCAGGTTTGAGGGAGGAAATTGATGGCTGGCCGGGTCCAGCAAAAGAGGTGTTGACTGCAGGTACACAGTGGAGATTTTCAATCATGGATGATATCCATAGCCTCATGGAGGGATGATGCCACCTACTGGGAGAGTTTTGCATCTTCAAGGTGTGCTAAGACAAAAAGAAATGTTCAGAACAGTTTGTCCTGTAGGGTCCTGTCTATTCATGCCTGTCTGTGTGGTCATCACAGACCAAGACGATCGGTCACTGGGGAAGAGCTGGGAATAAAGGAAGCTTACATTTGCTGTGTGTCCAGTGTGCATTGGGCCATTGTCAGTAAGCCTTTGAGTGGAGATTTCCTCTGCTTTACATTCGAGGATGCCCAGACTTAACACGGGCAGTTGACGGCAGAGTGGGACTAGAAAGTCCAGGCTACCTTCAGAGCCTGAAATTTGCTATAATGGTAGAAATTGCTAGGTGTAAAACTGTTAATGCATCCATGTGTGTGAATCATCAGAATATTGAAAGGAGCGTGGTTTCTCTGTCTGACGCCCCTGTCCCCATTGGACTTTGGCTGCTCTTTTGTGAAAGGGAAGGAGAATGTCATATGGCTAATTCCAAGGTGGGTGAAAGAGTGCTGCCTCTTGGACTTTTGTGTGGTGATAAATAGGGTCAGTTGGGCATGGACCTGAGGGGAGCTCTGTGTGTGACCTGTAGCTAAAGCCTGAGTACACACGAGAATGGACTTTGAGTGGTCACTCTGTGCCATCGGAGATAACAGCGATAACCTCGGTAGGGTGGCCTCCTGGAACTGAGCTTATGCCTTGGTATGTCCCTTCTTCCCCTGTTGCTTTCCTTTGGGTTTGTGAAACTTTAAATAAAGAAGGTTTTTCATAAATTAATAAAAATAGGGGTACCATGAGGGCTGCACAAAAGGATTTATCCTCTGGAAGAATGTGTAATGAGCAAGGACTTCTGTTTGACTGATAAATACAGGTAAATTCTATATCCCGGAATCCAGACTTTTAGGTATGTGACTTATCCCACAGGGACCTCAGTAGCTAGATGAGATGGCATCTATTTTTACTATTTATTTAAAACGTTGATCATTCATTAATATGAATCATGCTTAGTGAAGCCCGGCATTTTCCAAACTTTAGAGGAGTAATGATGTAACTCAACTCATTCCTCTTCATACTGAAGAGTCAGATGTGATAAATTTAGATAAAATGTGATTTGGGAGAGTAGCCTCCGTTAGTCCAAGGCTCTGAGTATTATAGTGGCAGCAGCAATTCGGAGTTCCCAGCTGCGCTCTTCACCTCTAAACCCCAGCAGTGTTTTCTTCAGTACCACTGAATAATCTTCTTGTCACATGTACAGACTCACCTGCACATACATGTGAGCACACACACACAAACACTGTAAACGTGATTGACAAGATGGTTCATCTGTGCCATGTATCTGTAATTCCAGCTTTTCTGCTGTGAGATGAGAAGCAGACAAGGGTCATCTGGAAGCTTGAAGGCTGGCTAGCCTGAAATGTGCCGCTCCTTAGCGGCCTGGAGGCTGTTGCCTCAGCAGTGGAAGCAGAGGACTGAAAGTTGTCCTTTGACTGCTACATAAGCACCGTGGTATATACCTGTCCATACTCACATATGAACTCAACACATACACACACAATAATAAATTTTAAAAATAATTTTAAAGTATTTAATGAAAGCAAATAAATCTTCCCAAGCTTATATACATATAGACCTCTTTTCTCAACACACGTTTCTTTTTTTCTTGTTTTGGTTTTTCGAGGCAGGGTTTCTCTGTGTAACAGTCCTAGCTGTCCTGGACCTCACTCTCTAGACTCAAACTCGCAGAGATCTGCCTGCTTCTGGCTCTTGAGTGCTGGGATTAAAGCCTGCACCAGGTTTCCTGTGTTGAAGGTGTGTGTGTGTGTGTGTGTGTGTGTGTGTGTGTGTGTGTGTGTGTGTGTGTGTGTGTGTGTTTATATGTGGCGTTCACCTCTCCTGTATGCTCTGAGCTTTTCCATGTGGGGTTGAGCCCTGGGCATTTTTGGAGCAGGCTAACTAAGGGTGCTGCTTTGGCATTTTCATCAATTGAAACACTGACAATCTTGCTACAGTTTTGGTGCATAATGTTCTGCTGCCTCATAGTCTTTGGCCATAAGTCATCTATTTTTGTGATAAAAATGGGATTTTATGTTAGAACTCACTCCATGCAGATCACAATGTGTTTGTTCAAAAAGCCCACGAGGGAGCAAAGCCTGGCCAGGGCCAGCACAGGTTTGTTCTGTTCTTTACCTCAAGAGGGCACTCTGTCTTTATCTTAAAAAGACGTATCTCTGACTTGAGCCTTCATTGCAGCAAATCTCATGAATGGCTCATAGGAAGTAATAAAAGTACGAGCCAGGAACCATAAAGCAGCCTCAGTGTGGAACTCCATTCTGCAGCCCACTGGGCTGGTGTCATGCTCGCTCTCCCTGGTCTCTGCACTTAGTGAGGCAATATGAAAAGTGCCGATTTGTGAGCTCTTGTTTGCTTTGTTGAGGTAAAGTCTTCATACAGCGCCCTATAATAAAGTGTTTAGGGGAAATTTTGTGTCATTTGAGGCAGTAGTTTCTGAACTGAACTAGAAACAAAATTATTTTCAAATGTTAGCATCATTGTGAATGAAAGATAAGCCCAGGAAAACTGGTTTTGGTCTGATGTGTTCTTTTCAGAACATGTCTGTTCTCTCAAAAGAGGATGTTTGGAAAGTAGTTGTTTCCCAGATTAGCCCACATCCCTTCATGGAGCTGGTTCACTCCTGCCTGAGCCATGGTAGACATTTCCTCATCAGCTGTACCGCTGATGTTTGCTCAGTAGGATAGGATATTTTTCAAGGGTTCATTTTAAACAAGGCTAACAGTTCCATGAGGTAGCAGGCGAGCCACCAGTGTCGAAAGCTAAGCATCTTTAGGGCCACACTACAGGCTCAAGTGTCCCTCCTTTGTCTTCCTATGTCTAACCTGGGCAGTTAGAGGTTTATTTTAGTTTTCTACTGAAAAGATTAGGATTAGACTTCATAAAGAAAAAAAAGCCCCACAGAGTGATCCTGGTTATTATTTGTGGCCAATTGTTTGCCAGAAGTCTATGAAAATGGAGGAACACAGGTCTGTTGAGGACATCACAGGCCTGGCCCCTGGAAAGGCTATGGTATCAAGCCAGCATTGATAATCACTCGTCCCATCGACTGAGCCTCTTCAGGTCTCCAGAGACTAGTGATTACTGATGACTGTCAGCCCATAAAAAATCTTCACTTGGGAGAAAAGACCATAGTACGTCTGAGTCACCCATTTGCCAGAGTGTGAATGTTGCCAGATACCTCAGAACAGTCTTTTAAAGGAGTTTTATTCCTTTTTAATCAGCTCTGCCCAGAAGCAGCTTTACATCCAGTGCTCCTTGGCTGTTTTCACAAAATGCAATTTTAAAAGGGTAGTTACCCATCAAGAAACCAATGAGTCATACCTTCTTGTGGAATTTTAAATTCATTTCCGTTCCTTCCTCTTTTTCCCTCCCCTCATCAATGGCTTTAAATCCTCCAACTGTGCCCTTGCATATCCTGGGAAACTAGAATGCTAGGTAATGCTGGGTATCCCAAAGATAATTCCATGTTCTTGCCTGGGCTGTGAAGGAAACAAAAGCAGCCTCCAGATGCCTGGAACCAACTGGCTGCCTCTGCAATCCTCTGCAGGTGCTCTGCCATGCATTGTATTGACTAGCATTCAGTTTGATGGTTTTTCCCCGTGAAGCAAGTTTATATACAGCCAAATACACAGACTTAACATACCCTTGATTTGTTTTGACAGACCTGTGTAACAAAAAACACTGTTAAGATTCAGAACATTGCCAACTCTGGTGTAATCCCAGCAACCAAGAGGCAGAAGCAGGGGAATCTTAAATTTGAGGCCAACCTGGGCTACTTAACAAGACCCTGTGAAAATAGGTTTCTTTCACTTGCCCTAGATGAAGTATGCCCATTATAGAACTTCATATAAATGGAACTGTTCATCATAGTCTCCTGTGAATATTACTTGAGGTTCTCCAGTGTTGTTAGGTGTGTCTATAGTTGGTCACTTTTAGTGCCAAACAGTATCCTGTTGGGTACATAAACCACAGTGTGTGTCG